CTCTGAAGACTATTTCTGGCTTCTTTATAATCACATCTAATTTTACTAAGCATCTTTATAAACTGCCGGATAGCAGTTTAGGCATTTTGCTGCATAGCCAGAGGCTGGGAGTTCGATTCCCCCTTTTACCTCGGTGACAGGGGCTGGACTCGATGATCCACAGGGTCCTTTTGAGCTCTGCAGGTCTAAGGTTATTATTATTCCATTTTATCTACTCTCAAAATCAAATTACTAGATACATGTGTATAAACTATTCTAGAGTAACGCTTGTGTACAGATGAAAAGAATGTGAATATTCTTATCATCTGTACACAACAAAAATCTGTTCCACCACAAAAATACAACCAATGTTATGGTCAGCAAAGGACAAAAGGGAACCCCTCACCACTGCAGTATACCGGATACTTTGCAGTGGTGGCCAGGTATATATTGGGATCACAAAATGCAGCATCCACACCAGAATCAAACAACATGAGAGACACTGAAATATTAAAGGAAAAATCCTAAAACTTATGTATTTCTAATGATGAAGTTTTATTCATTCATTCATTCATTCATTCATTCATTCATTCATTCATTCCATTTATACCATGTTTTCCTCAGAGTAAAGCCCACTGAAGTCAATGGGACTTATTTCATATTAGAAATGATTGCACTCTCACAGTGCCCATCTTGGGGCCTTTCTGGAGACTCATTTTGTTGCATCCTGTCCTCCAAAAGGAGGAGCAAACTCTACCCAACCACAAGGACCAGTGATCACTGCACACAAAAGACCAGCTAATGACACCCATCAATCACAATGACAGATCATCTCCCTCCTTTTCACAACAATACACCCGTAACAAAAAACACCCTGATCACCATAATCACCCAATCTCCTGAAAAGGACAAAAAGCCACAGTTACAAATACTCAACTATCTCAGCACTACACCAGAACGCAGACAGAGTTCTAACTCCAGTCCTCTGAAGATGCCAGCCACAGAAAAAATGTTAGGAAGAAAACCCTTCAGAACATGGCCAACAGCCTGAAAAACATAAAACAACCATCAATGTGAACATTCTTTCATCTCCTTTCATGACTCTCAAAATCAGTTTTCTTAACTGTTCTGTTCAGAAATATGTCAGTATTCTTTTTCCCCATTTTGGTAGGTTGAACTTGTCTTTCTCTTTATCCATAATCATCATAAAATCCTCGTCCATTACTACAAAGCCTGTCCTTATCTCTTTCTCCTCCCTAAATACATCTTTAAAAAGTAGCTTAGCATTCAGAGGATAAACATTGATCATAGTATAGTCCTCTCTTTCTTGTTTTTCTTCTACCATTATATATTGTCTTTTGCTATCTTTACGTATTGTCCTTTGATATATTTCTTCATATTACTCATTTTAAAATCACATCTTTTAGAAATAATAATTGCAACCCCTCTTGATTTTGAACTTCCATAGGCTTTTTCATAAACATTAGACCAATTTCATTTCATTAGGATCATCTTCATTTTTTAAAGTCTGCTTTACTTTTTATTCAATAACACCTCTATTCTTTTCCTCTTCATAACACTCCCCAGCTCTTTCACATTTAGAGATGATACTCTTAATCTATTAACTGTTATTATTTATATCCATTCTTTGTGGCCCCAAATAGTGACATAACTCCTAAAAAGTCTAAACAAAGTAAAAACAGTACAATCCCCCAATCCCACCCACCCCACAGAACCTCCACACATACCCACAAAGTCATTGAAAATCCTCATTTTGGCCCTTGGGGGTGGGGGGATATCCATTCCAGTTCCCATGCTAACAGCCAACCTAGTTATCCCAGTCATCCCAACTTCAATTCTTATTCTCATTTTCATGCTATACACCATCCAAAGATTAGTCAGTATTTTACTACTATAAACCCAGTTATTCCTTTTGTTTATTTGAAACATATATCCCACAAAGTGTGGGTTTGCTTAGTTCTCAGGGATGGCGAATGACTCTGTGTTTTTTTCCCTTTGGATTTTGTATAATGTACGTCCTCTGAGTGAGGGTGAATGGGCAGGAGTGCACGAGACACTCATATTTATAACTTCCCTTTTTTAACTAAAAGCATAGAAGGTGGCTTCAGCAAGTCATAATATACACAGCCTCAACAATCAAACAATAAACCAGTAAACAAAGACACAAAACAAACAAGCATTAAAAAAGCAGTCAGAACAGTAGCTGAAAATTTAGGCTGCCTTCAGTCATCATACTAATCTATCAAATTGGTCACAGGAGATCAGAAGCTTTTAACCACAGTTTAGCATTATAAATCAGTCACAAATTAATTTATATTTTGTCAGGTTTGCAGTTAGTGAAAAACAAGCAAACATGTATCAGAGCCTTTCCTGGATCCATCACCATGGTGATAAACTGTGGTTTATTAGGATGTCCAAATGCCACCTACACTCAAAGTGAAGTTTAATTGAAAACCTTTCCTTACGGTGATTTCCCCCTTTCTTAAGAGTGTACATCATCAGCAACAGCGCCAACATCAGCAGTTCCAGAGGCAGCTGGAGGAGAAGATCCAGTTGCTGAAGCAGCAGCCCTTCAGTCCTCCCACCGACCTGCCCCCGGAAGGAGAGTTCTTGGATGGCTCCTGTGTCCGGCCAGAGGGCTCAGCCACGAGCTCCCCAAACACGTCCCCCAAAGCCTCAAACCACTCTGCCTGTTCCAATGTCTCTGCCTCGGACGTCGGGAGCTGCCTTTCCACTGAGCAGGAAGAAGGTGGGGATGTTGACCTAACTTTTCCTTGCAGTGGGATTAAGAGCAAGAGACTGTATTTGTCCCAGGGTCTAAGCAGGGATGGACATCCACAGCACCAGGTTTTCCTCAGAGTAAGGCCCACTGAAGTCAATGGGACTTATTTCATATTAGAAACGATTGCACTCTCACAGTGCTCATCTTGGGGCCTTTCTGGAGACTCATTTTGTTGCATCCTGTCCTCCAAAAGGAGGAGCAAACAGTGCATTTCTAATTTAGCCTTTCACAAGTGGCCCAGCAGGATAAGCATTCCACAACGTGGGCCACATGCAGGAAACATCTCTCCACGTTGCCTTCACTGTGCAGATCAATGGACAGCTGTCTAGCATAGTCAAAGCTGCACTTCGTTGATAATAAGGAGTGCAATGGAATACATGGAGAATGGTGCAATTGTTTCCCATCTGCCTGGCAATTTATGCACTATGTACTGTATGTGGGTAACAGGATGAGTCAGTACATCCTAGCTAGATCTGGTCGTTATGTGTTTATTTAAAATATTTATGTACCACTTTTCTCCTAAAGGATCCAAGGTGGTTTACAGTCTTAAAAGAACAAAGTTGAAAGCTGAATAATAAATTATTACAATATTTTTAAAAAGCATTAAACAAATATATTAGAACTCCTCATGAGAACCAAGTAAAACACAGAATAAATGGGGCCAACCTGGCCTCCTGTGGGAGGGAG